CCACCGAGCCCGGCTCTTTTTGATTTTTTTTTTTTGTGGCGTTGAGGTCTCCAGGCTGGTCTCAAACTCCTGGGCTCAAGTGATCCTCCAGCCTCAGATTCCCCAAGTGTTGGAATGACAGGCGTGAGCCATCATGCCAGCTGATTGTGGTTATTTTAAGACTCTCCTTAGTAGAGGTATTTGCACAGAGGAACCTTTTAAATTTAAGGGAATTATATTGTGGAAGACACCCCGTGGCTGACCTGCCTGTGACTATTGACACACCAAAATATCCCAAGTCCCCAAACCCACACCAACAGGAAGGAGGTTTGAAACTGCTAATTTTCCCAAGAATGGCCTTCTCCCAAATGTCGTCTGCAGACACGAACATGGAAAGAAGCCCTCCCACAAATGCAGTGTCAGGGCCACAGTGGTGAGAGAGATTTTATCCCAGTGTGTGGAACCAGATCTTCCAGCTTTGTTTTTGCTGTTGTTGTTTTTTGTTTTTGTTTGTTTTTTGAGTAGGAGTCTCGCTCTGTCACCCAGGTTGGAGTGCAGGGGCAAGCTCACAGCCACTGCAGCCTCGACCAGCTGGGCTCAGGCGATCCTTCCGCCTCAGTCTTCCAAGGTGCTGGAACTACGGGCATACACCACCATGCCCGGCTACCTTTTGTGTAGACAGGGTCTTGCTGTGTTGTCCAGGCTGGTCTTGCACGTCAATCCTCAAGTGATCCTCCCGCCTCAGCCTCCCAAGGTGCTGGAATTACAGACGTGAGTATCTGCACTTGGCCAGTTTTGTGGACACATCCTCCCTGCTGTCCTGGGCTTCCCTTTCTCCCCTTTGCCATATGGTAGATGCTTATTATTATTTTTGTTGTTGTTGCTATTATTATTATTACTACTACTTTTTCCCTATTACTTCTCCACCCTTGTGGATTTAGGGAGACAGAAATTGCTTTTTTTTTTTTTTGGAGTCACACTCACAGCCACTGCAGCCCCCACCTGCTGGGTTCAGGCGATCCTTCCGCCTCAACCTCTCAAGTAGTTGGAACCACAGGTGTGCACACCTGGCTAATCTTTTTAAAAATTTATTGCAGAGATGAGGTCTTGCCAAGTTACCCAGGATGGTCTTGAACCCCTGGGCTCAAGTGACCCTCTTGCCTCCGCCTCAGCCACCGCACCCAGCAGAACCTGCCTTTGTGTTTATATGAGGCTAAACCACCCAGAGACACCCCCCAAGCCTGACTGCCCGATCTGGTCTTTCCCCCATGAACCTGGGCTTCTGTCCTTGGGGACTGAGTGTGAATGCCCCACATATAGGATCCGGCTGCATGTGTTGGGTGACAAAAGGGGTGCACAGGGTCAGAGACTAATTGCCTGCCCGAAACTACTGTCTCGTCCCCGGAACAGAGCCGTGATCTTACTCGGGAGGGCGAAGTGCCCAGCAGACAGCGACTAAAGGGCAAGTTGTGAGCCCAATCTCCCTGCAGTGACAGGAAGCCAAGGAGATGGACATGAACACTGTGGCATGTGGCTTCCAGCATGGCATCATCAAGGAACTGATTCAGCAGGGAGGGGGGTTGTGCACATTTCTGGTTGTCTCTCCTTCTGCTGTCTCCCTTTCTGGACAGTGGATGTGATGGCTGGAGTTCCAGCACTCACACTGTGCTCAGGACGTGACCTTGTAGGTGCAAACAGAGCAAGAGGCAGGAGACACCCCAGTTCTCGGTTTGGACCTGCCTACCACTCTATTCAGGTTCATGTGAGAAAACAGACTGAGCCAGGCTCAGTGGCTCAGCCTGTAATCCTGCGCTTTGAGAGGCTGAGGTGAGTGGATTGCCTGAGCCCGTGGGTTCGAGACCCACCTGGGCAACTTGGTAAGACCTCATCTCTACAATAAATCAAAAAATGAGCCGGGCGTGGTGGCGCGCGCCTGTAGTTCCAGCTACTCGGAAGGCTGAGGCGGAAGGATCGCTGGAGCCCAGCAGGTCGAGGCTGCGGTGGCCGGGAGCGGCCACTGCACTCCAGTCTGGGCGACAGAGTGAGACTCCAACTCAAAAACAAAAAAAAGAAAGAAAACAGACTGGGTGCGGCGGCACATGCCTGTCATCCCTGCACTTTGGGAGGCCAAGGTGGGAGGACGGCTAGAGACTAGGTGTTCAAGACCAGCCTGGGCAACATAGTGAGACCCCATCTCTATAAAATAAAATAATTAGCGGACTCAGTGGCTCAGCCTGCAATCCCGCTCTTTGAGAGGCTGAGGTGAGTGGATTGCCTGAGCCCGTGGGTTCGAGACCCACCTGGGCAACTTGGTAAGACCTCATCTCTACAATAAATCAAAAAATGAGCCGGGCGTGGTGGCGCGCGCCTGTAGTTCCAGCTACTCGGAAGGCTGAGGCGGAAGGATCGCTGGAGCCCAGCAGGTCGAGGCTGCGGTGGCCGGGAGCGGCCACTGCACTCCAGTCTGGGCGACAGAGTGAGACTCCAACTCAAAAACAAAAAAAAGAAAGAAAACAGACTGGGTGCGGCGGCACATGCCTGTCATCCCTGCACTTTGGGAGGCCAAGGTGGGAGGACGGCTAGAGACTAGGTGTTCAAGACCAGCCTGGGCAACATAGTGAGACCCCATCTCTATAAAATAAAATAATTAGCGGACTCAGTGGCTCAGCCTGCAATCCCGCTCTTTGAGAGGCTGAGGTGAGTGGATTGCCTGAGCCCGTGGGTTCGAGACCCACCTGGGCAACTTGGTAAGACCTCATCTCTACAATAAATCAAAAAATGAGCCGGGCGTGGTGGCGCGCGCCTGTAGTTCCAGCTACTCGGAAGGCTGAGGCGGAAGGATCGCTGGAGCCCAGCAGGTCGAGGCTGCGGTGGCCGGGAGCGGCCACTGCACTCCAGTCTGGGCGACAGAGTGAGACTCCAACTCAAAAACAAAAAAAAGAAAGAAAACAGACTGGGTGCGGCGGCACATGCCTGTCATCCCTGCACTTTGGGAGGCCAAGGTGGGAGGACGGCTAGAGACTAGGTGTTCAAGACCAGCCTGGGCAACATAGTGAGACCCCATCTCTATAAAATAAAATTGAAAATTAATTTAAAATTTAAGATACAGGCAAGTGAGAAAACAAACCTCTAATCCACCAAAACCATTGTTTTTGTTTGGTTTTGAGTCGGAGTCTCACTCTGTCGCCCAGGCTGGAGTGCAGTGGCACCATGCTCACTACCACCACAGCCTCTATGTGCTCAGGTGAGCCTTCCCCCTCAGCCTTCCAAGTAGCTGGAACCACAGGCATCCACCACCACGCCCGGCTAATTTTTTGACTTATTGTAAACACAAGGTTTCACCATGTTGCCCAGGTTGGTCTCCAACCCCTGGGCTCAGGCAATCCTCTCAACCTTGGCCTCCCGAAGTGCTGGAATGACAGGTGTTTTCCGAAGTGCTGGAATGACAGGTGTTTTCCACAGTACCTGGCTGATTCTTTTTTTTTACTGAGTTGGGGTCCTCTGTTGCCCAGCCTGGGTGAGTGTAGTTGTCC